CTCCTCTGTCCTTCCTCCCTGCCCTGCCAGGCAAGCTCTTCCGCTGTTCCGCCCTGAGCTGCACCGAGACCTTCCCCAGCATGCAGGAACTGGTGGCACACGGCAAGCTACACTACAAACCCAATCGCTACTTCAAGTGAGACCCTGCCCACCCCGACCTCCCCCGGTGCTCGGGGACCAGGCCCCAGGCAGCTCCGCCCACCGCTGGTGGGATAGCCCCACTCCCTGGGCTCCAGGCCTTTCTCCCTTCCGGGTCAAGGGGGTTGAGTCTGGAAGGGGGCGTGGCCTCGGGCAAGCCCTGCGCTTTCCTGCCCCGAGGAGACTGGACCCTCGAGCAAGTCCCAGGGACCCGGGGGGCGGGGCTCGGTGGGACGGGGCTTACGTGGTGTGGCTCCGCCCAGTCCCTCTTGCCCTCCCGGGAAGAAAACTGACCACCTAAGTCAAAATTGAGACTTCCTTCCTCGTTTTCCCAGGGCTCTAACCCGGAGGGGTCCGGAAGGGTCGCGGTCACAGTAGGGGGGCGCTTAGGGCCAGCTCCTCCCCCGCGGTGGGGGATCTGTGGTTTGGGCCTAGGCTCCTAGGTCCCCCAGCACACCCAGCCCTGTGCCTGCCCCCAGGTGTGAGAACTGCCTCCTGCGCTTCCGCACGCACCGCTCGCTCTTCAAGCATCTGCACGTTTGCGCCGAGCATGCGCAGAGCCCAGCCCCGCCGCCGCCCCCCGCCCTCGACAAGGAGCCGCCGGCGCCCGAACGCCCCCCGGAGTCCGACCCCGCTGCGGCGCCGGGCCTGCCGTTCCCGCTGCTCGAGCCCTTCACGACCCCCGCCCCTGCCCCCGCCGGGCCCTTCCTGCCCTTCTTGAACCCCGCGCCCTTCGGCCTCAGCCCCCCACGCCTGCGCCCCTTTCTGGCCGCCGCGCCCGGGCCGCCCACCTCCAGCGCCGCCGTCTGGAAAAAGAGCCAAGGTGAGTGTGGGGGTGGGGCCGCCTAGAGCGTGGGCTGGGCGCGCTCTGACTTCTGACCTTGACCCGCCCTGGTCCCGCAGGTGCAGGCGGCAGCCCGCGAAGACCCCAGGGCGGCTCCGACGCGCCCTCAGGTGCGTGCAGGTGACCTCCAGGGAGGGGTGGAGGGGACTCCTTTGCCGCGCCCTGCCGGGCCCGGGGATGCTTCGAGGCAGCAGTGCCCGCCCCCTTCCCAGGTGGCCAGAAATGCCACCTCCAAAATACAGGATTTTGTCTTAAAAATGACTGGCCCCTGCGCCTTCCTCTGCGCCGGCGTCTCCGTGTAACTCGCGCCCGGTTCCCGAGTCCTTTCCTTGCGGTGTGTCCGGGGATGGGAGTGGGGGCGCGGATAAGTGAAGTTTAGAGCCCCCCATTCCGGGGGGGGGACGCCCGGGAGAAACGGATCAGCCAGGCCAGACCCCCGTTGCCTGGAGCTGGTGGGGAGGCGGGGAAAGGGCCGCCCTCGCCCTCCGTCCCCGGGGGTGGACGGGTCCTGGGGCCCGGGCCTGACGGGGTCCCGCCTGCCCGCAGGGCACGCGGCCCCGAGCCGCATCGTGTGGGAGCACACGCGCGGCCGCTACTCGTGCATGCAGTGCGCCTTCTCCACTGCCTCGCGGCCCGCCATGACACTGCACCTGGAGGACCACCGCCCCATCGCCCCCGCGCCCGGGCAGCCGCGCCCCGACGCGCCGGCGGGTAAGGCCCGGGAGCGCGCGGGCGGGGAGGGCGGGGGCCCCGAGGCGAGGGGCGGGACCGAGGCTCAGGCGCCCCCTCCTCTGCCCCGCCCAGACCCGGCCCCGCTTGCTCCCAGAGTGTCGCCGCTGCTGTCAGAGGGGGAGTGTCCGGTTTTCTCGCCGCTCTGAACCCCACCGCGTTGTGGGTGGGCCCGTGGGGCGTGGGTACTTTTGTAATTTAGGGGGGCCCGAGATGGACGGGGTGGGAGAACAATAAAAGAGGCGCGATGAGCCAGCCTGTGCTGTGTCTGGGTCCCCTGTTCCTCCGATGCGCAGTGGGCCAGTCTAGCTGCCCTGGGGCACTCCCACCTTGGCAAGGGACAGCCCTCCCCTCGCCACCCACCTGTGTCCTTCTTCCCCTGGAACCCAGGTCTCCAGCTCTGTGCCACCCCATCCAGCTGTAGGTGGTCAGCCAGTGCCCGCTGTCCTGTCCCCCCACTTCCAGAAACCAGACGGTTGGAAGTTTCTAGTTTTACTTAAAGAGTGTCAGGAGCCGGGAGGAGAGGCTGGGAGGCTGGTCCTGACAAAGTGCCAGGGGTGGCCCGGCTGGACCCCCCCCCAGATCCTGAGGCCAGTGCTGACTCACAGGGAGGTGACAGGGCGGTGGGACAGTCCCGGCCCCCAGGGCTGGGCACTTTGTGGCAGGCTGGGGCTCAGGCCTGTCTGCATCCTCCTCAGGTCCTCTGGACCCTCATGTTGGCTCCCCACTTCTGCTTCTCCCCCTGCCCCAGCTCTGGGGATGGTGGGTCGAGGGCTGCTCTGGAGAGCCTGGGCTCCCTCCCTCCCCACCCCTCCCCATCTCGGTCCTCCTTGTCCCTTCCTTTCTGGGAAGTCAGGCCGGGGGCACAGGGTTCCAAATCTGGTGCCACACTGCTTTCTCAGCCCTGCTGTCCCCAGAACCCGTGGGCCAAGCCTCCTGGGTATGGAAGTCCCATGTGCTGTTGGCAGCCACCCCACAGGAGCTGGTTTAACTCCTGCGTTTTGCTCCCTTCCAGCCCCGTGATCCCCTAGCCCAGGCCTCAACTCTCTTCCCCATCCTGGGGCACCTGAAGCCACCCCTCCTGCCCTTCCCGCCAGTCTGAACACCCCTGGAAACAGGGGTCTCTTTTGATTGTGCCCCTTCCCTGCCTAGTACCCTTCAGTGGCTCCCCACAGCTCTCTGGATGAAGATCCTATTCTCCTAGTAGCCCACAAGGTCCCATCTTGAACCTCCCCACTTCCTCTCCGGGCGATACTCACCATGTCCCTCCTTTTTTTTTTTTTTTAAAGATTTTATTTATTTACTTTTTCCCCCCAAAGCCCCAGTAGATAGTTGTGTGTCATAGCTGCACATCCTTCTAGTTGCTGTATGTGGGACGCGGCCTCAGCATGGCCGGAGAAGCAGCGCGCCGGTGGGAGCCCGGGATCCGAACTCGGGTCGCCAGCAGTGGAGCGCGCTCACTTAACCACCAAGCCACGGGGCCGGCCCACCATGTCCCTCCTCGTTCTCCTCTTCTTCCTCTTGCTGTGAGCAGGAACCCAAGGACCAGGTCCCGAGCCCCACCCCATCCTGTTCCGCTCCTTACGGCCTCCTTCCCATCTTCTGAGTCCTCATCAGAGTTGTCCTCTGTCACCGTTTCATTCTCAGTATCTGCAGCCAGCAAGACACTAGTCACTCTCTGGGTGGAGTCCCAAGACCCCCTCCCTCAGCGCCCTCCCATCTTCTCCTTGCCCTCCTCTCCATCCTCCCCCTCATCCTCCTCGGAGTCTTGGCCCCCTGGTGTCTTGGCTCTGAGGCGGGCACCACAGGGTCCCCGGTGTCGAAGCCGCCCAGGTAGAGGAGCTGGGGCAGCGGCTCACACCTGCTCTCCGGAGCACAGTTGAACAGGTCCAGGCTCCGGAGGCCCTTCAGCTTCTGGAGCGGCAGGAGGGGGGTCCCGGCAGCCTTAGGACCCGGCCCGCCTGGACACAGGGGCCCGCCTGCCACCCAAGGGCTCACCAGGGGCTTCAGGGCTGCGACGTCCTTGATGAGGTGCAGCTGAGGCTCCGGTGGCTCAGGCCAGGTGTCTGCTCCACCAGCACCTCCAGGCCCCCGCTGAAGTACTTGTCACTCAGCACCAGCTGTGGGGCAGATGGCCATCAGGGGACCCTGGTGGCTGCCTGGGGAGGAGGTGGGGCAGGGTCAAGGGGCCCATTTTACAGATGGAGAAGGTGAGGCTAGGAGGGTAACCTGACAGCTCTGATGCTGGCCAGGCCCAGTTCCAAGGCACTCACCGATTCTGCACCACCCTAGACGCTGGGCACAGTTACCAGCCATGAGAAAACGTGGGCTGCGAGGTCCGCAGGGCACTCCCCTTTCCCTGCTCTCCCAAGGCCCCTAGATGCTCCTTGAAATCCAACCCCAGTCCCAGCCTTTCCCACATCTCCAGGGACAGGGCTCAATGTTTCTTGTCCCCCAGGCCCCAGTCTTGTCTCCAGGGTACCAGGGTCTCCCAGCCCCCAGGAGTCTTCCTTCCCCATCAAGCCCCTCATTCAGCCACATGCACCCCCAAATCCAGGTGAGGCCACTTCCCAGTCTGTCAGACCTTTCCAGAAAGACCCAGAGCCAACATCTTGGTCCAGGTACCTCTCCCCACCCCATCACCCACGTAGATGCAGCAGCCCCTCCCATGGATACAAGAAGCCCACAGCCCCCTGCTGCCCTCTGGGGCAAGCTGAAACGCCGCGAGGCCTAGGGAGCCTGGGTCACCACCTGGCCTGGGCACCCTGTCCACTCGGAAAACCACCTCTGACCCTCACCCCTGCCTACTTTTGTCCGCTCAGTTGGGAGGTCTTACTGCTCCCAGTGCCCCTTCTGGGCTCCCGCTGTCCTTGCCCTCCCTCTGGCCCAGCTCTGACTCCACAGAGGGTCCCCCCTCACCCTAACTCCAGGATGCCTGCAAGCCGAGTGCTCTCGGGGCCCGGCTCCGCCCAGCAGAGGGCGCCCAGGAGTGTCAGTCTGAAGAGAGAATGAATGAGGGGGGCCACCGCCCGCTCCATCACCTGTGGGGGCCGGCTCGGTTACCCTCCCCCCTGACTGGGAGAGGGGAGGTGAAGGCTCCTGGGCGCACGTCCCCGGACCCTGCTCCCAACCAGGCCCGAGCACCCCCCTCCCGCGCTCCCGACACCTCCGCGACCGCGGACTCGGCCGCCCACGTGCTCCGTCCTCCCCCCTGCGCGCTCGGACCACGTGGGGCTGAGCCCGGCCCCCCCCGGCTGCCACTGTCGCCGCCCCTGGCTCTGGCGCAGCGATGAGGCACACCAGCTTGGGCTCCCTCCGCGCGCTCGGAACCCCAGCACCCCTCCCTGGCCCGCAGAGTTTCAGACGCTCGCCCCAACGAACCCCCGCAACACCCGAAGGCGCACCCTGGCCCGCGCTCCCTTCTCTGGGCTTCCGGTTCCCTAGCTCCAAGTGGAGCCGCCTGTCCACGTTCACGGCCGCCACGAAGACGCCACACACGCAACGGGGAGAGGCGGGGGACGCGCCCCCTGGGGGCCGAGCCGGGAGCCTGCGCGCCCGGCCCACAGGGGCTCTGCCCGGTGGGACCCTCCAATCTGCGAGTTCCTGGCGGGGGGTGTCCACAGAGTGCCTGGGGAGTCACTAGCTGTCATTCAGCCCTTTAGCTTACCTTGACTGAGCGCCTACTGTGTGCTCTCGGCCAATAATCGCTGGTTCTTCATTCATTCTTCCCCTCACCGCACACTGGGAGGGTCAGTCAGCCTGTGACTGGTGCCGAGGACTCAGACCTCGTCATCCTTGGCCTCCGGGACTCCTGTTCGGAGTGGGACCCACATCTGGGAATGTGGCCCAGGATGCGTGTGTGTCGGTGCAGGAATGGAGAGGCACAGGCACAGCGGATCCAGAATCCTCAAGCTGTGCTCTTAAAGCAGACATAGGAACAAGCAGGCAAGGTTGTTTCCAACTGTGCTGCCTGTGGCCTTCGTGGCAGGGCAGGTAAATGAAGAGCTCTTCAAGACAAATGAGCCTCCTTCTCTGTCTCAACTGGATCCTTCCGGATCCTTCTGGAAACATCTACATCCTTGCTACTCCAGGTGTGATCCTTGGACCAGCAGCATGAGCCTCACCTGGGATGGTCTGGAATCTGAGGCCCCTCCATGGACCTGCACTTAGTGGGGTCTCGAGGTGATCCTGGGCACCAGTGTTTCTCAGCTTAGCTGTGAGTTAGAATCCCCCCTCGAGTGTTTAGGAAATCCCCAGGCTCAGGCCACACCGCAGACCAATTCGGTCAGAATCTCCAGGAGCTTCTGTCTTTGTGTAAACTCCTCAAGTGATCTGATGCAGAGCCAAACTGAGAATCAGGCCTCTGCTGTCTCCAGGGCGGGGGAGGGGTTCTTTCTTCATCTGTGTGCCCGAGGTCACTGACCTCCTGGGGCCTGAGCCCTTCTCTGGCCGGGCCTCACACTCTATCGCACAGCGATGGTCCTGCCCATTAGCTTCACCCCCTCCTCGCTGGCCTCCCAGCCATCTCCATTTCCCTCCCATCCTCTGTCCTCTGGGAACCTGGGGTGCCATGGACACTACCCACCCACCCAACACCAAATCTGCCATCCCAGTTAGCCCTCTGCCCAGCCACAGCCATCCACAGTCCGTGTGACATAAAAAGGAAGTCCTGCTCAGAACTGGGGAATCGGACGGCGGGGAAGTGTTGAAATGACGAAGGCGGATGAGGCAACGAGCCAGAAGGGCCTCACCCGCCACACTCACCCGACTCCTCGGTCTCCCCGCCCGGAGCTGACTGTGCCCCTCCCCCACTGAGCACCCCTCCCGTGGAGGCCCTGGCTGGAGCGGGCCTTGGCCTGCCTCCGTTGGCAGGAGGTCCTGAGGGCCTGACACAGAGTCCCCGGTGGAGCCCAGAGGTCAGCGGAGAGTGAGGGGGACAGCAGAGTCGAGAAACTAGTGACTGGGTTGGGAATGTGCTGCCGTCCGATGCACCAGGCGCGGAGACAGTAGCAGGCAAGGCAGGGGCTTAAGAAGTGCCCAACAGGATCTAGGGACAGGCTGGGGCTGTCTCCGCCTCCTTTCCTTCCTCCTCTGCCCTCCCCACCCGCCAGCAGCCCCCACCTCGTGGGGCCCGTGGAGCAAAAGCCACAGTCACTTCCTGAAGGCAGCGGCCCCGGCTCGGGTCCCACTCGCCCCACGGCCCACCACCCGCCTGCAGCCATGGTGAGTGAGTCCCCAAGCCCTGGGAGGGCCCCCACGGGCCGGAGGCAAGGGGTGCTGTGGGTGGAAACTGGGGAGTTCCAAGAGGGGAGCAGCAGAGAGGGGCAGGAAGCCGTCTGGGAAACGAGAATGACCGTCACAAAGGCCCAGAGGTGGGAAGCATCCAAGACACGTCTCTGGGACACCTCGTGCTCCAGGGGGCTATGGTCCAGGCCAAGCCTGCGACCGTAAGGGGGACAGGGGGACTGCCCGGACTACTCCCCTCCCCCATGTCCGTGTGAAGAGCAAGTGGGTAGCAGGCAGCCAGGATGAGCAGTACAGGGGCTTTCTGTGAATGAGAAATTGGGTTACGCACCTGCTGCCCCCCCCACCCCGGCAGTCATCCAAGGTCACCTGCTGACCCTGATTCTCTGGCCCTGTGGGTCACCTGGGAGCCCTTGCCCCGACCACCCGACCATAGGGGGGCTTTAACAGAGGCATTTCAGGCCCCAGAAAGGAATCGCCACCTTCCTTGTTCTCGGGATGGGGAAAGCGAGGCACAGACAGGGGCACAGTCCACATGGTTCTGCCCCTCCCCTCCCCCAATCTCCTTGACCCCGAGGGAGATTGGGGGCCTGCAGCGGGGCCACCTCGGGGGTAATTTGTCAGGCAGAGCAGGCCTGGCATACGTGTGCCTCTGCCTGTCTGTGACCGCTGGCGGCCGGTCGCGATGGCACCCAGGGCAGACTGCATGAGCCACAGAGGCTGCATGGGGGCCTGCATGCTGGGCCCCAGGGGTGCCGTCGACCGTGAGCGCCCCTGACCGCCAGCCTGGGTGTCTGGGCCTCAGAGAGAGACCCCACACCCACATCTGCCCCCAGGTCTCTCAGTGTCTCTCTGCATCCGTCTACATGAGTCCGTGAGGGGCAGGCTGGACATGGCTGAGTCGACGCCTGTCTCTGTGCCCTGTGTATATTCTTCATTTCAGCAAATGTTGACGGAGCCCTGACTGGGTGCCAGGCACTGGGAGGACAGCAGTGAATGAGCCGAGTTGCTCATTTAAAAAGCCATATGAGTGAAATAAATAGTATGATACAGGGTGGCAGGTGCTAAGAGAAAAATCGTGCAGGTTGGGGAGGATGGAGAGTATTGGGAAGGGGGAATTGTTTTTTTTAAATTAGCGTGGTCTGGGAGGAAGGCCTCTCTAATAAGGAGATACTGGAGCAGAGAAGTGGAGCAGGAGGAGGAGGAAGAGAACCACGCGGTGGGGGGAAGTGTCCCAGGCTAGGGGCG